AAATTTATTCTAAATTTATAATAAATTAATTTCTAGAAAATACTAAAACTAGTTATAGCATATAAAACGTAACGGCAATATTTTAAGATATTTAAAAATTAAATTTCTTCCTGAATATTAACAAAAAAACAAGCAATCAAAGCAATATCTAGCTAATTTAAATAAAAATCACTAAGTATATAAAAATATATTATGCAATTTATATAAATATAATTATAATTATTAACATGCTCATAAGTACATAGACTAACTATCAAAATGTATGTATATGTAGACAAACAAAAAACAAATAAAACGTCGAAAAGATAAATATCTAGCGGTGTTGAATCAAATTGTAATCATTATTTTAATGATATTGATGTCATGAAAATGAGCAAAACAGTAAAAGAAAACAAACAAATTTTAGAACTGGGTCGACTTCTTATACATATATTCATATTAAACATACACACATACCTACCTATGAAAATAAAGTGTACGTTTCTTGTATACAAAGTTTTAAATATACAAGTAAAGTTCTTTAATATGAAATAAAAATAAAACAAAAAAAAAAAACTGATTTCGCTTATTTTTGAATCAATAACAAGCCTTGACCATCATACCTAAATCTTTGTATGTGCGATGTAACAAAACTCACTTTAATGATTTTAAAATATACAAAGAAAAAAACAACACTTTTCAACACGTCCGCATTGTATACAATAAGGGAGGTGTTGTGATGGCATCAAATTTCGCATGTCCACTACATAATAGGAAAGCGTAAATAAAATTATTTTTAGAGAGATGTCGTTTTGTTGCACCGCTGCTTCGATCAGTCTGTCTATGAAATGCACTCATATAATATCTCGATTTCAACCAAGGCCCGGTAAACATTTAGTAATGTTTGTATAGGCACATCTTGTCAAGGTTTGCTATAAATAAAGAGAAAAGTGGAAAAAATTATTAATTTTTTTATTATACTCGTAAGTTTTAAATTCCGCCCCCATTTTTCGGCGTCTATTGTAAATGCTTAATTTGCATATTTATGAAAGATTCGGCACTGATTTCGACTGAACTGACTTCGGTTAAACCGATTACAATAAAAATTTTACTTTTGGTTATGACAAGAATTGATCAACTGTGTTAGAATATTTTATGTCCCCGGAACTTTTTACCATATTTTTTCATTTTTGACAATTTTTAAGAAAATATTCAATTCAAAATTATTCAAAGTAAATTTTTAAAGTAAAATTTTTTTTTGGGAAGTATTAGGTTTTCGAAGTCGAACTTTTACTATAGGGACTGATTTTACAATACCATATTTGAGGAACTAATTGGAACTTACTCAGAAATTTTTCATGGAACTCAAATAGTATAAAGTGAACCTGTTCTAAGAAGGAAATATCAATTTTTCAAGGTATTTTAATTAAAAGCTTAATAACGTCCTTAAAATTTGAAACAAGGGTTTAAAGCACTTATCTTATCACTATCTTGTTTAAAATTTTCAAAAAACCAGAAAATTAACTTTGGAGTCGGCTATGTGCTGACCACATCAGATTGTTTTTTTTGTTAAATTTTTCTTTTTATTTTCATTCTTTATCACTTCTTTAACACAAGAAGATTAAAATCTTAAACGACCGACATAGTCGTCGTCAGCCATTTACGTTCTTGTTCAACTGCTTTGCTGCTGTTGTTTTTCTTCTATTTTTAGTTTTCCATCTTAATGATGAACAAAAAAATATAAGAAAAGCATAAAAAAAAAAAATTCTAAATGCTTTGTTTTCCCTCATTTTGCCAAATGGAAAATGCTTTTCCTCTTTACTTTGGTATTTATTGGGACTGTAAGAAAATGGCAATAAAAAAAAAAAAGTAAAAAATTTTAAAACAAAAGAAAAAACATAAATATTACGACCATCACCAATAATAACAATAAAAGTATGTTAAAGCACTAGCATGCTTATATCTTTTACTCTTCTGTATACAATCCGCATAGCATTGGCATTATTAAGATTCCTTCCAACTCCTCCGATATATGCGAATATTATACGAATATTTTTTTTTTTTTATTGTATGGTAGATTAAACTCGCCACGATTTTAGATTAACCGTACAATGAAAACAAATAACAAAATTTTTGACGATCATCAAAACAACGAGAAGCATATTGTAAGAAGTTAAAATTCTTTACTGACTTTTGATACATAAAATAAAAAAAAAGAAGTAGAAAAGAAAATCTGTAAAAAATTAAAAATTTTTTTTAAGCTCAGTCTACTCATACTTACACGTACATATTATATTTTGTGTAGACCATGTACAAATAAATTTGTGCCTATTTCTATAGGTGAGAATCCTATAGGTGTACAAGTGAGTATACGGGTAGATATTGTAAAAGTAAAATAAAAAAATGTATAGTGTTTTAATAGCATAATAATATACGCCTGTATAATATTTGCTCTTTTAAATAAAGACGCCTTCACAATCTTGTAATTGAGTTTTATAGTCGAATAAAATGCAATCATTCAACATATGTACATATACATATAGTATATATACATACATATATATTATAGAGAGTCATATTTTATGAGATTTGATTTTTGGTTATGTTTTCAAATTGAATTGAAGAGAAAGAAAATGAAAGAAAATATTCATTATTTGGGAGCAAAACTCTTTAGTTTTTCTTGCTTTTTTTTCTATAATGATTTTGTGTAATCATAAATTGAGAGATTTAAATTTAAATTTTATGGAAGCCAAAAATTATTATGGAAAAAGAAAGGAATATTTACATACAAGTACGTACTCGTATATAAAGAATGACTTAGAATATGAATTTTTAATAAAAATATCAAAATTTTATAATTTTATTTGAAATAAGAAAATATTGTATTGAATTCACAGCCGAAGGTGTTAAGATTAAAATATTGGAAATGAATTTATGATTTTACAAGCAAACAAACACAAACACAATGGGTGACAAACACAACCATAATTGCATAATTTATATTAAATTTTCCTCAATAGAATTAAATTTATCTTAAGTGTAAGAATCAAACAATTATTGAATAAATAAATTTAGTTATTAAAAATATAGAATCACAATTGCGGTGAAATTTGAAATTAATTTTAATTTTGCAATGTGAGCAACAGTGATAGTACTAAAACAGTAACATTGGTGAAAAAGATGAATATAGTACTTCTCAATAATCTGAAGAATTTTAAAATATTTAAGTTAAAAACTCGAATGCAATATGAAAATAATTGTTTTTAAAATTAATGCAAATGTTATTCTCTGTTATTGAATTAATACCGTGTGTCACACTAAAGCATAGTGAAAAACATAGTACTGTTTTGCCATAAAGTCTAATGTCATTGCACAGGGCATAATTAACATAAAAATCAGAAAAATAAAAAAAATACGATAGAACTACCCAAAAAAAAAAAATTAAAATTAAATATTTGAAAATATTGCATAAAATTAGGATTTACGATTTTCTTTACCGTTTCGTTTGCTTATTTCACTTTCGAAATCTAGATGTCTCTAACACAATTCCAAAAATTAAAAATACACAAAATTTTCATCTGATAATATTGAACTGATTGCATAAATTTAGGATTTTAATTAAATTAAAATTAAATAAAATAATTCAATCCACAGATGTCGCTAAAATGAGAATTAAATGAACTGAATGAATTAAAATAAAAATTTGCATACATTCAGGATATTTTAAAAAATCTATTTTTAATTATATTGCTTCTGTTAAAATTAAAATCAATTAAAAGTAATTTAATGGTAGTCATGAGTTTGAGTTTTGTTCCCATCGTCTTTTACATTAACTCATATTTCTGTAAGTGCCTTTGGGATTCTTTATAATTATTGTAAATAATATGTACATGATATTTCAAAAAAACAAAAATAGTTTTACAAAAATTAATAAAAAGATTTATGGGCATAATTAAAATTTATCTTCTAAATGAATAACAATTTTAGAGCGAAATTTAAAAAAAAATTTATAAAAATCTAACTACAGTATGAAAGTACCAATAAATTTTGGACAATCAAATTATTGAATAATTTTAAAATGAGCAATATTTTTAATTTTGATTAAATAAATAATGATTTTTAAGATATTGCGTATTAGTGTGGTACAAAGTGTCGCTCATTCAATTTTTAGATAATTAAACAAAGTGTAAATATAAGACTTAAGAAGATTTAAGTTAAGATAAGACTTAAGAAGACTTAAGTAAGATTTAAGACAGGAAGCTCATGAATAAATTTCAGTTTTCTTTACCAAAAATCTAATATTAACTAATTTTGAGTTTGATAAGATTGAGCCATCTTTGACTCTGATTTACAGTTCTGTATTTAAGTTAATTACGATATTTGAGTAAATAATAAGTAAAACTCTTTATTTTTTTTTCCAATTTTTATTTTTAAAAACTAATTTTATGTTATACCTTTTCTATACATTTAAAAATTTCATTAAATTTATGTAATATTTGTAGGGTTTTTTTTTTTTCAATAATTTCATATAATTATTCTTAAAATATTTATAAAATTTCTATTATAACGTATAAGAATTTATGATCTTATTTTAAAGGTACAATTTTATAGGTATTTTTTTTTTTAACTAGGAAATTTTTCTTTATATTTATGTAATTTCTTATTTGTTTTAATATTTTTTGTAATTATTTTCAATAAACCTACAATATCTAATACTTACATAGTACAATTATTAATATTATACATTTGTTATTAATGCATTTTAGTTTTATTTATTTACAAAACGAAACAGAGAGTAAGTATTTTCTTAATACTTAAAATTTTTTTTTAAAATCTTGAATTGAATTATCAAAATTAGTATGATTTTTCATATTTTTATAATAAAATTTTGTTCATATTTTGTAAATTTAGCACAATTATTAATATTATTCATATTTTTTACTATATTTCCTAATACAATGAATAGAATTTGTTTCATTTATTTTATTATTATTTAAAATATTCGTTTTTGAACTTGTTTCATAATTATGACTTCTTTAGTTTTGATTTTCTTTATCATTTTTTTCTTCAATTTCTATAAATTATAGTTTAATAATTAAAATCTAATTCTCTTTGAATGCATTCATTTATTTTATACATATTATATTCCTTGATAATATAATAAAAAAATAATATTTTGAAATGACTATCAATGCACAATAATTATTAAAATTTCAAATTAATATTAATAAAAATTAAACAAAAAATATGAAAAAAAAAAAAAGATAAAAAATAAAAAATAAACAATCAATAACCTCAAAAAATAATTAATAATAAAATATTAGTTATTTTTGGTTTTGAAGCTGCAAAAAAAAAAAAAAAAAAACAAAACAACCAAGATTTTGGTTGAAAATTTTCCTGAGTTTTGTTTCTTTTTTTCTTAATTTAGTGAATTAAACCATTAATTTTTTTTATTACTACTATTATTATTAGTATATTGATTTGTTGTTGTTATCATTGATGCTGTTGATGATGATGTTGATGATGTTGATAATGATAAATGCTGATTATGATGATATTCATTTTCAGATTTCCTTTTTGGTATAATTTGATCTTGAAATTCTACATAACCGGATTCATCACTAAATTCTGAATCTGAAATATCACCATTTCCGTTTGTTGTTGCTGTTGTTGTTGTTGTTGTTGTTGTATTTGCAGTCATTAATTTCCTAGATGAAAAATTCTTTCTTGAATGATAATTAGAAATTTGATTATTTGTTTGCCCCTTCATAATATTTGTTCCATTACAATCATTTGAATAATGATTGTTTATAAATTTTGGTGATTTTAAATGATTTGCTCTCATAAATGTTAATGTTTTGTTACTTATTTTTACTTCAGTAATTTTATTATCATTTGAAAGTGAATCTTGTATTTGATTATTACTGTTATTGTTACTATTATTGCTGTTACTCTTATTATTAATTGTTAATTCATCTGATGTATTAGTAATTTGTTGTTTATCATCATTAATATATTTTAATGATGTATCTTCACAATTAGCAGTAACTGTACTTGCAGTTTCACAACCACTTGATATTGAACCTTCATCGCTATCCATATTGTGTTGTTGATGACGGTGATGATGATGATGATGGTGATGATTATGATTTGATTTTTCAATACTATCACCGCTATCATCACTACTCATTGATAAATTTGCTAATTTACGCATTGAATTTCTATGTAATAAATTAAGAATAGCTGTTTGCCGATAATATAATTCATCTTCTTCATCATCGAAATCAATATGAATATTACAATCACTTTCACAACCATCACAACAATTATCTAAATTTTCTAAACTTAATGTAGCTCTTGGTCTTGGACATGGATCTGTTGTTAATGATGCTTCATATAATATTTGATCATCTGATGTATTGTTACCATTACTATTATCATTATTATTAATATAATTATTTGGTAAATTATCATCGTTATCATCATTATTGATACTCTCAGATAAATCAGTTAAACTAGATGTTTTTGCATTCAATTTCATATCGAAATATGATAAAAGTTCTCCAGCCAGCGGAGATGATGTATCATAATTATTGTGACTTAATAATTTTTCTAAATCATCATCATCTGAACCAAGACTAGTTGTTGATTTTGATTTAATTGCATTATTATGATCATCATTATTATTTTCATTATGACAATATCTTCTTAAGTATACTTCATTATCCAATGTTTTCTTATCATCATTATTCATTACTAAGTCTTTTGTTCTATCACCAATCACATCTAAACAGTTATTATTTGATAAATTTATCATTTTTCCATTATCACCAAATGATATTTTATATGCTTTACCAGTACGACGTATTGAATGTCCACGTCTACATCTTCGACGTCCCAATGTCATTGCTGGATATAATGAATCTTTTTGACAGCATGATGGCATTTCTGGTTCATTTGTTTGTTCAATTTCTTCACCTTCTTCTTCACCAATTGCTTCTTCAATTGCCATTAATTTTGGGGCTGATTTTGAACGTTCCATTGGTGGACGATAATTATTACCACCGACACTTAAAAGAATTTTTCTACGTGGTAAACTTGGATTTTCATATACGGAATTAGCTAAACTAAGACGTGCATTCTGTTTAAGAATCTTTTCCCTTTTGAAATCATGTAGAGCTCGATCGAGATTCTCCTAAAAAAAAATTATAAATAAAATATGAAATTAATTATCTGGAAACCGTAATACACTATAGTAGATTATATAAAATAAAAAAAAACTTACTCTTAATGTATTGCATATCTCTTGTGCAATTGATTCTTTACTACATAAAATTGCATGACATCTTAATTCATGTTTTAATTTTCTACCTTCATGTCTATAAATCCAACAAAAAACTTTTGGATAATTCTTTGGGGAACAACAATGTGTTATACGATTTGCCCAATATTCTGTTAAACCATGTTGTCTTGTTGTTGCTTTCAAACCAGATGCACAAACTCGAACACGCATTATAACATCGGGCTTATGATTTTGTGAATAATTTCTCCAAAGTGTATTTAATGGTTTTTCAACACAACCTTCACCTGTAAAATATCAATAAAGAAAAAATAATGTTAATTATAATTATGAATGAATTTTAAAATGTTTTAATAATATTCAATAATAAATGTAAATAGATTAAAAGATTTTTTTTTTTCACTTAAAAAATGTTAAAAGAAATTATTTTGTTTGAAAAATAAATATTAGATGAATAATTATGGCTGCGGCATAATAAATATCTACGCCTTTCTTTAAATATTTTAACACATTTTCAGTATAATTTAAAAATTTCTATGTATTTAACAATACAAACATAATAAATAGCAAGAAAATTCCGCCAAATAAACGATTTAGTTGATATTTTTGCTAAATATTGAAAAAAGTTTTAGAAAATTTGCAAGTATTAACTTAGATTTAAGTACGAAACTGTAATAATGCACAGTTTAAATATGGTGAGAATAGATTCAAACTAAAATTTGAAGACATATTTTAAGTTTTCGGAAAAATAACAGAATTAGGAGTTAAACTCATTGTAATTACTCAATTAATGAGTGACCTTAAAATTTTAATTATTAAAAAAAAATTACCCTTTCAAAGAATAAGTGAATCTCTTTCGAGAATTTCTCTTAAATTCCAGTGCTCTGAATTCTTTTTTGTGCATCATTCACAATAGTAACAAGTTAAAAATAAGACGGTAAGATTTAGAACAATAAAAACTAAATTATGATCGTAACACGAATTTTATAATACAAAATTATTAATAAAAATACAAAAAATAAAAATTAATAATAAAATAAATTTTCTTTTAGGAATTTCGCTCAATACTCTTTTAATAAAGTACAAAATATGCAATACAACACCTAAAATTTGCTCTTTGTGTAAAGAGATCAACTTAATTGCTCGCAAATATTTGTTTTGAATAAAAATGTGTAAATAATAATTACATATGTATGTACGTAGATAGAAATATCTATGTATATTGTAAGAGATTAATTTTTATGTAAATATTGAGATGGGAGTGGATTTTTGAAGGCATAAAATAATACCAAAAAGAAAAAAAATTATTAATATTCAACAATATTCGGAATTTATTACAATTAAAAAAGAAAAAACAATAAATATTTGGAGAGAACGATTTGGCAGTATAAGAATTTAGAATGAAACAGGCACATAAAATTAAAGTTAAGATTTGAAAAAGAGAACATTTTTCATAAAAAAGACAAACGCGCGTACTTATTGTCTAAGTGTACAATAAATTTTAAGTACTGTCCATTGCAGTTTCATTCTTGGTTTTGTTGCTGAAAGATCAGTTTAATGTAAATTTATTATGCCTCTGTAGCTCAGTTGGTAGAGCGTCCGCCTAGAAAGCTGTAGGTCCAGTTCGAGGAGAAAAATTTTTTAATTAATTTTTCTGCCTTTAACTCGTTCCTTTGATTACGTCATCCATCTGTTCTGCAATTGCATGAAGAAATTTCCATTAAGTTAAATTATTAGTGTAATAAGCACATACTTATTAATTTCACAACTATGATGTTGCATTAGTAAAATTCATAATAAGTAAATTTATTGTCTTCGCCAAATATCAATAAATATGGAGGAGATATAAAAATCAATTTTAATTTTTCTACAAGAACTCGACAAGAATTTCGATCCAAGCAGAAGGCAGTGGCAACGCTAAAACAAAAGTAGCAATTAAAAAGGACAAGATAAAATTAATACTCGTAAGCACATTCAATTTATTTAATTTTATTGAAATGTTCTAAGTATGTATAAGAAAATAAGGTAAATTTGTATACATATATGTAAGTAAACTGGTTCAAACTGATTTTTATTATTCTTTCTCTTTTAATATTTTATATACGGATAATGCATAATAATAATAATCCAATATATGTACTTATCGAATTTTTTTTTTTTTTTGATGATGATCTCGTTTTTTGTTTTCATATTAACAAAAACGAATTCATAAATATTCTACACATAAGTATATAGGATAATTTGTAACATTCTTTTGAATAATTTTAGGTGTGGTGAATTTAATTTAAGTACAAAATCAAAATATGTAATCAAAATTTTCATACATACACGTACATACATCTGTGTATAGAATTATTTGGTAGATACGTTTTCAATATTTTATTTAAGAAAAACAAAAAAAAAATTTTCAAATATCGTAAGTATTATTGGAATATTAAAGATTTTAAAGCAAGATTATAATGATTAAGAAAATATTGTGCATGTGAAATGAAGAACATGGACTCATATTTGTAACATAAGTATATTAAATTGTGTTTTCAAATTTTTTTTTTAAGGCTCTTATAAAAAAAATTATTAATCAATATGTATTTCATATACAGTTTCACCCACACAATATTACAAATTATTTTCCTGTTTTGAATATAATTTTTAAAATATTTTAAGAACTAATTTTAAAGTATTTATGTAAATCTGTTAAAAAAAGATATAAAATCTCTTACTTAGGAATAATTTGTTAAAAAAAAATCTCTTTAAAATATTTAAATTTTATTCACTCAAAATAACACTAATCCAGACTTAACCAGTTTTGTATTTTTGCTACAGAAAATTCTGTTACATATATTTGTTCGAAAAAACTTTCTACTGCGCAAAAATTGAAAATAAACAATAGGGAAGCCATGATTAAAAATTATTTTAGAAAATTTTGATATCACCTAAATAAAATATTTATTTTTACACATAACTTGTAAAATTAGTCGCAATTTCTGCAAAATATCACATAAACCTATTGAGAATACGAAAAGTAATTATTATAAGTTAAAATCAATTGATTTATACGATTAATGCCCGAAAAAATAACAATTTTATTTTTTATTCTGCCAAATTATTTATTGAAATTTCTTCAACTTATTTTTATATCATAATCATAAATGATTAAATTTCTATTATATTTATATACTTAATATGAAGAATAATTTAATTGTTTTACTAATTTTTTTAATAACTTGTTATCATTTAGCATGTACTCAATAGCAAATAAATTCGGAATTCGTTATCATTTTATTATACCACTTATATTTAATCCAAAATAATATTGGATTTTTTTATTTTTGTTTTCAAAAGAAAAAAGTAAATTATTATCTCAAACCTATAACATACACATAAGTATATACCTTAATTTTTAGGTCTAAAGAATTTCTGTATAATTGCTTAAGTTATGTTACAATTTCTGAAAAATATTCCGAATAGAAACAAAATTTTCTCATATTTCAAAATTCATAGCTATTAATAATTTTTAATCAATTGCTATAAGTACAAACTAACAACATGTAACCATGTTAGGTACTCAATTTCTAGAAATACTGGTATTTTTTATTATAAATGATTTTTTTAACTACTTATATACATAGTTTGTTACTATAGTAATTAAAATAAAATTATAAACAATTTTGTTAATTAAATTTCAATAAAAAACAAGAGGAATATAACTATTAATTTATAGTGAGTTTTTGAAAAAAAAAATAAATACTCATTAAAAAATTACTTGAATATAGAAGAACTAAAAATTTTTTAAGAAGATTTTAAAAAATCATGTAAATATTGTAAATGCCAATAATAAAACCAGAATATTCGTAAATCAATTAATATTTAATTCTTGTTCAATTAAAGGATTTGAGCGAAATAGAGAGTATGAGCAGTGAAATTTCAACATCCTCTAGGGATTTTAAGAAAATTTTAAAATATTAAATAAGTTTTAAGTATATAGTTTGATTAGAATCTCTTTAAAATTTTAATTGTTTACAAAAATGCAATTATATACTGTTATATACACAAAAATGACTACATTTTCCTAAAGCGGTCTAGTACAATATAACAATATTAATAATAACTGGTCATATTATAATATTTAGCTTATTAACTGCTAATTAACTAATCTATATGCTTGTAACCGGTTATTAACTAATAAATAAACAAAAAACTAAAAATAAAACTAAAAAATTCTAATCTTACTCAAACATTATTTTTTTTTATCTATAATAAGCTTATAATATACAAAAAATAATTTTTTTTTTTGCTATTATAACCAATGGTATAATTAAAGGTAATAAAAAAGTTAAATATTTTTTTCCCTAAACAGCTGTTTTTTATTTTTTTTTGCGGTGTATAATAGCAATTTACTTACACAGTGTACAACTTTTTTTTTTAAGTAAAAATTAAAAAGTGAGGCATAAATAGTTTTTTATGTACTTAATATTTGTTTTTGATAATTAATAGGCTTTTAATAGAATAATTTAAATAATAATAGTGTTAATTGAAATTTAGAAAAAAAAAAAAAAATTTTCAAATTTTTCGAGATATAAAATAAGTACCTATAGCTAATTGTATACAAAACAACAATGATGTCGAATTATTTATCTAAAAAATGGTTAATTATAGAAATGTGAAAAAATTGACTGCATTAAATTCAAAATCATGAAATGAAAATATTAAAAAAATTTTAATTAAAGATGATTAAGAAGTAAATTAAAATTGGGATCAATTATTATCTATAGAGAATTATGATTTATGTCACACCTACACGCTATGGCTTTTCATAAAATTAATGTACGTGAACAAGTTGTTGTAAATCTATTCTGTTAGTCATATCACTTGACGTGATGGTTTGTCACTCAAAAATCTTGTAATTTTCCAAATAAAGTCAATTCCGAAATTCGAAATTCTTTACAGAAACACAAAATTCTTTTTAATAATAACCAATCATCTCAAGTTAATGGGACTAACAACTGAATATGAATGATGGTCTTTTATCAGTATTTGAAAATCATTTACTTAAGTATAGGGCGGAGCATTCAAGCCCTGTGTATATTAATTTCGAAATCAAAACAGAATTTTTAAGCACATTTGGTCTCTACAGCATTAATATATCCCATTTTTTTAAACAAATACAATTTTTGATAAAAAACATAATTTTTTTATTCAAAATACTATAATAATATTTAGCTTTGTTGTTATATTTTAAAAAACATGTGTAGTACATGTAAATAAATATAATTATATTAACAATGTA